AATCCATCCTATAAAACTGAAATAAACCTACCTTCCTTGGCTTCTATCCACCTGATACACAGAACTTGCCAGTGGGTCCTCATGCATCAGCTGCTAGATTTTTCCTCCGCTGACCATGGGAGTTTCCACTTCAGGAGGTTGGTGATCATGCTGTCCTAGACAGAGAGAGCAGGAGGACCTGGTCCCACAAGTGCTTATGCGTTGCTTTCCTTTCCTACCTCAGAGGTTGGAAACATGCTTTAGGAATGGTGATTAATGACGAAAGAGTGAAACTAATTTGAACTTGATTGCAGGAAGGTTTTTCATTTACTAGATCCTTTCTGCATCTAACTCAGGGTTAAAGGGTTAAAAGAAACCACAAAAATTTTCCAACAAAGCTGAAGAACCAACACTAGAATATATACATTTTAAGCCACTTGATTTTAAGCCACTTGATTAAGTGGCTTGATATAAGATAAATGAAAATCAAGACTTTTCTTTATAGGAGCATTAACCAGTTAGAAAATAAAAGGAGAAATAGCCTATCCCCCCCCCCCCCAAATAGGAAGGAGGATAGGAAACTCTACAATTATACTGAAAGACAGTGAACAGAAAGACAGTGTTGTAAAGTTGTCAGTTGTGCCCAAATTCGTTTTAATGAGATTTAGATCACACTAAAATATTTTTGGTTTTTAAAAAACCAGATAAAAGTTGTAAGTTAATATAAAAATAAGTGTAGGACATTGCCTGTAAATTTTTATGAAGAAGACTTTATAAAGAAAACTGAGCCAGGCAGGGGGAGATACATGCTATATAGCTATTAAGACCGTCTCAAAGGTACTGTGATCAGATTACAGTGATACAATTGAAGAGACAAATTACTAGTATACAGAAAAAAGATCCAGTTATCTATGGTAACTTGATATAGGGCAAAATTGAATTTTCCTAACAAAACTGAAAATACTAATCTATTTAACAAAATTTTAGGATTGCCGATTCATCTGAAAGAAAAAGTTTGTTTAATCTCTACCTCACAACTAAATGATATATAGATCATGTATATATGTGTGTGTATATATAAAAAGTATACATATGCGATTTTTCTCATTTGCATCTTGGACTTTTCTCATCAATATACATCTATCTGGTTCTTGTTTAATGGCCTTTGGATGTAACAGTTTAATTCTTTTTTTTTTTGTTTTTTTTCTTTTTTTTTTTTTTTACAAATAGTTTATTGTCAAATTAGTTTCTACGTAACACTCAGTGCTCATCCCCAAAGTGCCCTCCTCCATGCCCATCCCCCCCTCCCCCCCACATCCATCAGTCCTCAGTTTTTGTCAGCATTCAAGAGTCTCTCATGGTTTGCCTCTCTCCCTTTCCCCCACCATTTCCGCCCTTCTTCTCCCGCGGAGTAACAGTTTAATTCTTTTAATGGACACAGGGATTGGTTCCAAATTTAAGGATATATTCATAGAAGCAGAAGTACTAGGCAAAAAAATAGGAGCATTTAAAATTACTAGTTATTGCTAAATTTCTGGCACAAAATTTTTAAAGAAATTTTTCATGTGGTTTCTTTTTAAAAGGGATTATTTTCAGTTGATTACGGATGTCTTAATTTGCCCACTAATCTACTTGATCAAGATAACAAGTATTAATCAAGCACTTTGCTTCTGACAATTAACTAAGGACTGGGCCAGAAGGCATGCGATGGTCAAGAGATACTGTAGGAAGTCCTTACCCTTAAGACTGTCTTTTAAAACTAAAGAAGATTTAGGGGGTGCCTGGGTGGCTCAGTTGGTTAAGCGTCCAACTTCAGCTCAGGTCATGATCTCGCAGTTTGTGGGTTCGAGTCCTGCATTGGATTCTGGGCTGACATTTCAGGGCCTGCTTCAGATTCTGTGTCTCCCCCTCTCTCTCTCTGCCCCTCCCATACTCATGCTCACTCTCTATCAAGAACATTAAAAAAAAAAGTAGAGAATATTTTTTCAGATGTTTAAGTACCAATTGGGTGATAGGGTCTACTATATGGGTTTTAGAAGAATCAGAGATAAAATCGGTTAAAGGTTTTTAAAGGATAAAATTTGGCGCTTTTCTGTAAATGTTCCCCCCCAAATGATTACAATTCTAAATCCATTTGGATCTTAGTATTTATGGTGATTATTATTGATGATGTCCATGATAACTGACTAAAATAAGTTCTTCTACAATGTAAGCAAGTTCAAAACACAAATGATCCTGAAACAAAGCTAATTAAAGGGAAGGATGTACCCACTTATCTGCATGTACCATATGCCAGTTGCTTTGATTAGTCTTTTTCTTTTTAAGCTCTGGCTTGACTTGAAAGGAGGCTCCTTTAGCAATGATGATCTACAATGAGAGACAGTTCTAGGGACAAAAGGTTACAAAAGAAAAGCTGGCATCTATAGATCCCCTATCTGCCTCACACTGTGCTAGAATCTTGAAGCACACTGCTTCTGTTTCACACACTCAATACTCTAAGGGGGGGGGGATGCACAAAGATACCTCCTAACTGGACACCAGAGGAGGAAGTACTAAGGATAGAATGAGGTCCTCGAGGACATGAGTTTCCATTTGAGGAGAAGTTAAAGGTACATGAGAATGGTCCTTGGCTGACAAAAGTCACCTTACTTACATATGCCTGGGAGGCTACCCGACCACCAAAACAACCGCCCCCTGCCCCCACAACTCCTCATCAGCCAATGGTGGACTGTTTGAAATATGGAAGGCTGGTCTGCTTCAAATAACAGGAATTCTACTGTACTATTTATGCTTCAGGGCCCCCCACCCCCACCCCATTAGGCCAACACTAAACTTCACCTGTGACTATATCCTTGACGAGCAATTTGTTCATACTTGTTTTTGCCTCCCTCTCTCGGTTACTGGATTTTCCTGAAGAGCACTCTCTCAATAAGTCACTTGGTCTGAGTCTGTCTCTGCTTCTAGCAAGCTCAACCTAAGAAAGGACATTTGGGATCCTGTTATATTTCTAGTTATCATGCCCAACAATTTCTAATCTCCACAATGACTCTTCAAAGCAGGTGCGGTTATTCCAATTTTATGAATTGGTACATTATGACTGGCCCACTGAGCCAGATTCAGCAAAGAGGCAGCTAGATCCCAGAGTGAATAGAAATCAACTGCTTACATAGTTTCCCAAAAGAAACGCCAAAGGCTGCCTTTAATAGGGAGGTATCCAGCTGTCTCACTCTGGGGCCATCCATTCTAACTATCTACAGACTTTCCCCATCAGAGGTAAATCATATGAGAGGACACAAAAAGTACATTTTCCAATCCATGTTATTTAAGTCAATGTTATAAATCTTTAAAATTTCTACTCATTTATCATATCTGGCATGCAGAACATACTAAATATTTTTCAAATTAATGCATGTTTGAGCACTCAAGGATCTAAATAACGGTATCATTTCTCTCAGCTTGGAGTCTTCATTATTTATGCCTGCCCTACAACTAGAACCCCTACCCCGTTAGTAAGCTTGCTAACCTGAATGCTGATTAACATTTCTACCTCCTCTTCCAATTGTGTGGGTCAGAACCAACAATACATTCATAAACAAACGAGCCTGGAAATCTGATGGCTGAACTCTAAACTGAATGGTTTAGAACTTTCTGGACCAATCTTGTGACTAACAACTGGCAAATAGGTATGAATGGGAAACTATGTCACACCTGACTAGGTGAAAGAAAACTTAATTGAGCACAAAGTAGAATTTTTAAAGTTTAGGTTATGGGGTGTTCTGGTCTACTGGTTGGCTGACTTTAATGAAAGGATCTACCTATTAATGTTGACAACTAAATTGGAGCTCCTCTCTAGAGATGTACCCAATTAGGTCCTGCTGTTTGAACTTCATAGGCCTCAGTGACCCTTTAAATACTGCCTCTAAATCAGAGGAGGGGTCTGGGAACTCTATGGTCTAGAAAAATGAAGCGTAATAGCTGGGAAGTACACTTATGAGTAGAGTAGAAGTGTCTTTGGAGATAACCCAACACTCTACCCCAGCCCACCCTCACACCTAGCTCTCAAAGCCTATTTTCCACTGATGAGCTAAAGATTCATAAATGTAGTGAGACTGAAAACAATTGTTTCAGGAAGACTTCTGAAAATTCCTCCTGACACTACACTCGTAAGACCTGGTCTTCAGCTGCTTCAACATTTCAAGTTTTCTGAGACTTTCTGGACATGCCCACCATGCCTTTAATTCTAGAACTTGTGTATTCCCCCCCCTTCCAAATTATTTCTTTACAAATGTCACCATGGAGCAGGGATGTCAGAGGTGGAAATGATTATATTGTCACAAAGATCACTTTTTTCTTCCCAGTGCTGGAAAGCAGAACAAGGAAGAAGCCCTGACATTAGTCTAGGAGACAGGAGATTTATAACTACAGGTTTTTAAATCACCTAGTAGAAAATGAAGAGGGAGAAGTGGCATGGCAGGTGAATGCATTTGGAATAGATTACATGCTAGAACAAGAACAAATTACTAGGTCTGTCAGAATAGATGGATCTAGAAATAGTTCAGTCCTCAGGGTCAATGTGATCACAGTAATTTGTTTTTCCCCACAGGTCTCAAGCCTATCTATGTTATTTAAAAAAAAAAAACTGAACAAAAAACAAACTTGGGAGGAATCCAAATAACCAATATGTAAAGAATAATATGGGATATAAGTACTACTTAATAACTTCCAATTTCCCTGCTAAACCCATAGGTCAGTATTGCTTGCACCAAAACTGCTTAGATCAGAATCACCCTGGAAGGCTTTTAAAACAAGAACAAGCAGATGAAAATACAGTTAATCATAAGGGAATCGTCATCTAAAATCCTCTCCCCCAATGATCTAGATTCACACTGAAGTTGAAAATGGCGATTTTGCTCTCAGCAACAGGGACTAGAAAGGCAGGAGCTTGAGAAACGGTATTTTGATCTAAGAACCCTTATAGAGGATCTTACTGCCACGCTTGACTCTTTTCACTTTTTACGTAGCAGCTGACAAGTCAGCAGGTGCACAGCTCTTATTCCAGAGAAGACCCCCTGGTGTATCAACTTGGGAAGCCACCTCCTCACTGGCATCCTCTGGCCATAGCCCTGGACCTCGAAGTTATACAAAGACATTACCCACTTGTGTGAGGTCGTTTACATACCTCCCATTCCCACCCACCAGACAAGGGAGCTTAAACCTCTGTGAGGTCTCTGAATGCTCAACACGGAGTGGAAGACCGAAGGAGTAAAGCTGGAGGTAGTGTGTGGCAGGTACCACAGTGCCTCAGGTGAGGTCATAAGGGTAACTTTGCATGAACGTCAATGTTTTGCTTTAATTTTCCTTTCATGTGCCATAGAAAACTAGAATGCCCGGAGATAAAGGAAGGACCTGTGAATGTTGGAAACAAGTACGATTATTGATTATGGGTTTGGGGCTGGCAACTTCTTGATCCCCATCTCAATTGCTGGCAATGGCTTTTCACTACACATGCTTTCCAGGAATTTCTGAAGATGAGCTAGAGGGGTTTCTCTGCTATGCTTCCAAAGTCTTTGCAAATGGCCAAGCACATACCACCTATATTTATGATTCCCCATTCAACTTAAGCAGCTTTATCTGTTTTACATAAGAGCTTTCGGTTTCAGATTGTATTTAAAGGGCTCCACTGCCTGCACCTCATTCAGGTTTTGAAAAGCATTTAGATTCCTGGAGTCACCATTGTACTAAGTAACAGTGCCAACCCTGTGCAAGCCAGAGCACCAGTAGCATTTCATCTCAGAAAATAGAGAAGATGTGCTTTCTTCTTTGCAGGATAAGGGTGATGGTGAATAAGATAAACACTAAAATTACTCAGAAATAAACACTGCATATTAAGTGTTATAACCACACATCAATAGACTCCAGTTTAGATTGTGGTTTTAGAGTGTTCACATATTTGAACTCCATTTGCTTAGCTGATTAATCTACCCCTTTGATAAGACTGGTTCTTCTATTTTTCCTGCGTAGAGAAGTAAAGAGACAAATGAATGCATGAGCTTATCATTTAAAAAATCCTTCAGTTTACTGTGTAGAGAATAGATTAGTAGGTGGGAAAAGACTAACAAGTAGAGAAACCAGTAAGGCAGCTAGTGCCATAATCCGGACAAGAGATAAAAACCCACAGTGCAAAGCAAATTTATGTTTACAAGCTATGGGGATAAACAAGTCCTCACATGGAAGCCTAACGGATCCACTTTGCCACATGAGGAGAGAGGGGCGATAGTGCAGATCTAGAACAAGACTGCCTTGGTTCTAACGCCAGCTTTGGCCATACAGGACTTTGGGAAAAGCTACTGGATTATTGTAGCTCTATTTTCTTAGGAGACTAAAAGTGGTACCCACTTCAGAAAATTGCCAGGAATAAAGGAGTAGGTGTATATGAGACGTTTAGAATAGTTCCCAACAGGCAGTAAATTTTTTGCAGGGCACACGAAAGATCTAAACGGGGCCCCTAGAGGGCAGCAGAGGAAAAGGAACAAAAGTGGAAGTGCAAAGTGCCAGATTCACATTAATTGTCAAAGAAAATAAACAACCTGATGGGGGGGGGGAAGAGGGAGAGAGAAGCCTTCCATGAACCATGCAACATGGAGGCGGAGCTCAGTGTCATGTACTGGCTGCTATTTGTTCTTGCCAATACGAAAATTTTTAGGCAAAAAGCAAGGTTATTCAAGCAAGTCTGGTAATGAGAAGGATCTGGGCGTTCATCTGGGAGCACACTTTTAAATGGCTTGCTCAGAGCCAGCAAGTTGATGCTGGCTGCTGGCTGGGAGTTCAGCTGAGGCTTTTTCTGAGCTTTTCAGTGCAATCGAACATGCTTCCTATATTTGGAGAACTGCCCACCTCCTTTGCAGCTAGGACACCGGGCTAGGACAGTCGCTGATAATTACACACACTTGAACAAGGGTTTGAATCAGAAGCAGGTGTTGCAGAGAAACAAGTGCCGTCTGGGGTCCATTCTGAGGAGAATGGCAACAGGTGAATCAGTTTCCAAAGGGAGGGATGGTCAAGGTCACATGCCAGCGATGTGCCTGTGCCTGGCAGAGGAAACAAAGCAGTTTCTACCAGAGTAGTTCTTTGGTGTCATTCTTGGCATTTGTCCAGGCCAGGGCCTCCCAACCTGGCTTCTGGCCTCCTAGGAAATCTTCTAGTCTTCAGTGGATTCTCTTCTGCTTGTACTAAATTTCAGTTAGTAGTAACTGAGTAACAGGTAGGATGTTTACTCCCAGTCTGCCCCACAGATCAAGCCTGACACCTCTAGAGAAAGAACTGGAAGCCAGAATGGCAGAAATTATGTTAATAAGAAATTCTGTAATATTCAGAGTCTGAACAGTAGCACTTTGTTTCCCAGGCGACCAAGTTCTACATGGAGCAGGACAATGACGGCTCGTCCGCTTTTCCCTGGAACATGACAGAGTCCTGGCCTCAGGGAGGCCCTGGGAAAATAGTCTTCAAACATCTGTTACAAGTTCAAATTCTTCTTTAGTGGGATCAACTTAGAAATACCCCCTTATGAACTAGATAGAAGTAGACTGTGTTGGTCAAAGCGGGACTTGGAGCTCACTGAGGGCCCTAGAAGAACCCTACACCCCACTCTGAAGTCCATCTGCAGGACTCAGTAATGGGGCCCGGCAGGGAGGCTCACGGAGTCTGTGACACCCAGGAGACCATGAAGAATCTCCTGGAAAAACACTTTGCAGGTGCATGCCAGAAAGCTAGCAGGTCCCAGGTGAGCACGTTTATCTCTGAACGCCTTCCCTGAAGGCTCCTAGAAGGATTGGGGGTGGGGGGGAAGGAGACCTAGCAGGGACTTCAGGTCTTGTTACAGAAACTGGGGAAAATTCAGAGGGATTTGAATATTACAGTGTCTTTTCTAATGCCATCTATTAATGAAACCTGGAGGCGTGTTTGGGTTGTACACCTTTTTATTCAGTTATATCTGATTAGTAGTAAGTTATGCATGCTCAAGTTGTCTTAAGCCTTAGTAAACCTGTTTATTAGTTTGTTGTCAACCTTGTCAGAGAGCAGTTTAAGTTAATCAGGATTCCTCTCTGCCTGGATCTCCAAGGGTCATCCCTACCCTTCCATCCACCCCCACTGGAAGGACCTTCTCCAGAAGGATCCCACCAGACTGGATTAGGTAACCCTTCTCTGCACTTCTAAGCCTGATACGGGGCTTGAACTTATGAGCTGTGAGATCATGACCTGAGCTGAAGTCAGCCGCTCAATTGACTGAGCCACCCAGGTGCCCCCAATAAATTTTTTAGTATCTACTATGTGCCAGGCTCTATTCTGGGCACCAGGAAATCAGCAGTGAACAGTTAAAAAGCTTTTGAGAGAGAATTTGGGCAGCTTTTGTGTATATTTTGAAGTTACGACTTTCAAGATTTGTTAAGGAACAGGACATAGTGTATAAGAGTCAAATCTTCCCGAGTGAATGGAAAGTCCAGGAGAGGAGCAAGTTAGAATAGATCTCTTTTGAACATGTTGAATTTGAGATACAATTTAGACTCCCCTGCAGAGTTTTAGTTCAGGAGAGGATTCACACATATGGAGATTCAGAGACTGGGGAAATACAGAGGACCAAGCAAAGGAGTTGAAGGTAGTCACTGAGGTAGGAGGAAAAACCAGGAAAAAGTGTTTTGTAAGGGACTAAAGAGAATCTAAGAAGCAAGGAGTGATGGGTTAGGTTAAATGCCGCTGTTAAACAGAATAAGGATGGAGAGAGGACCATTGAATTTGGAAAACCTGGCACTTATCAGAGACTCCTGTGGGGAGGTGCCATGGGGAGAAAGGCCTGATTGAAACTGGTTCAAGAGGGAATGGGAAGAGGGGCACCTGGGTGGTTCAGTTAGTGAAGCGTCCGACTTCAGCTCGGGTCATGATCTCATGGTTCGTGGGTTTGAGCCCCACGTCGGGCTCTATGCTGACAGCTAGCTCAGAGCCTGGAGCCTGCTTCAGATTCTGTGTCTCCCTCTCTGACCCTCCCCTGCTCACGCTGCCTCTCTCTCAAAAATAATTTAAAAAGAGAGGGAATGGGAAGAATTGGGACAGGAGTATAGCCAACACCTTTGCTAGGTTTCACGTTCAATGTGAAAAAAAATCAGGGCTATAGCTATGGAAAGAAGTGGGGTTAAGACTTTAAAATAGTGAAGATCTACTGAGTGCTAGAGAGTTCATTACTAAGGAAAAGTTGCAGATGAAGGAGCAGGAGGAGACAAGGGCCCGAGCACATCACCACGGAGTCAGCAAGAAGGAAAAGGATTCTGGGCACAGGGTGGGTACCGGAGCACAGAGGCAGATGGTGAGGAGATGCGGTGTGAGAGTGGGTAGAAATTCACCCCCAATGCTTCAGCTTTGCCAGTGAAAAGCAAGAAGTTCGTGGTTGAATGTGAAGCCTGAGGAGGAGGTCTTGGAAGTAAGTGGAGAAAGGACAAAAGCAAACTAGCCACCTGGAAGACTGGGAGAATACTGCTCTAGGCACATGTAGTGTGGCCACAGCGCAGCCCTCAGATGCCTTTTGAGATTTAACCATCACAGGGTTGTTTCTCCCACAATCCGTGCTGTACTAACAAAGGAGTATGCTAACGAAGGAGTGAAGGACAGGAGAACAGGATTTCAGCAGGACTCTGGTTTTTCTAGATGAATATGAGAAGGCAAGAAAGAGACAGGAGAGCCGAGCGGGGATAGTAACAAGAGATTTTACTGATGACTCGTGGCCTGCTACCTCACAGCCCATGCTCTTTTTAATTTTTAATTATTTTTTTTTAATTTCAGAGAGAGACAGCATGAGCAGAGGAGGGTCAGAGAGAGAGGAAGATACAGAATCTGAAGCAGGCTCCAGGCTCTGAGCTGTTAGCACAGAGCCCGACGCGGGGCTCCAACCCACGAACCATGAGATCATGACCTGAGCTGAAGTCCACCACTTTACCAACCGAGCCACCCAGGCGCCCCCAGCCCATGCCCTTTTTAAAGCCTTCTGGAAGTCCAGCTGTAGTAGTTTCCTATCACAGCTGTAACAAATTACCATGAATTTATTGGCTTTAAACAACACAAACGTATGATCTTACCGTTCTAGAAGCTGGAAGTCCGGCAGAGGTGTCCTGGGATAATATCACTGTGTCAGTAACGGCATGTCCCTTTATGGAGGCTCGAGACAATAATCTGTTTTCTTACCTTTTCCAGTTTCTGGAGGCCTCTTTCCTCTGTCTTCAGAACGAGCAACACAGGTAAAGCCTTCCTACATTGTATCACTGACCTCTTCCTCTGATGCCCTCTTCTACTTTTAGGGGCCCTGTGATGACATCGGGACCCCCTCAGTAATCCAGAATCATCCATGTAAGGTCAGCTGATTAGCAACCTTAAATCCATCTGCAACCATAATTCCCTTTTGCCCTGTAGCAGCATATTCACAGCTGCTAGGCATTAGGATGTGGCCGTCTGTGGGTTTAACATTCTGCCTCCCAGAACGCACAATGCCAAGGTGTCCTGTACAAGCATCGTACTCCAATCTAGCATGAAAAGGACTATTCACCACTACTTTGCTAGCTCTAGGCATTGTGGTTTTCTTTTTTTTTCATTTAGCCAATTGGACAGTGGACAATGATATCACACATGGTTTTTACTCGCACCTACTTGATTACTAATAGGTCTAAATATATAGATGAACTTTTCTTCTTGGGTGAAGAAAACTTGTACCCTTTGCACAATTTTTAAAGGTCTTTTTTGTTTGCTTTTCTAAGAGTTAAGAGATATTGAACCTTTATCTTGCATATATGCTGTAAGTGTGGGGGTTTTTTTCCAGGTCATCATTAGGTTCTCAACTTTTTTTCTTTTATTACCTAGTCAAATCTGTCAAATGTTTTTGGGTGGGTGGCAGTCCTGGCCTTTGTGTTCTGCTTAGAAAAATATTCTCCACTTTGGGAGAAGAAAATTTTCCTGAATTTGTTAGTGCTTTTGTAAAATTCCTAAGCCTCCTAAGACATGGAAATATATACGATATAGGGAATGTTTATCTTCACTTCCCCTGCACATACCATGAGAATTAGATCTGTAAACATTTGTCTTGTAAACTGCTCTAATCCAAGAGGACCGAATGGCTCTAGCCTGGGCTAGGTACCTGGGAGAAGCCTCAAGGGGTCAGGGAGCTCTTTCTCCCAGGTAATTACATTTGTAGAAAGATGAAGCCCAGACTTAGAACACATATCTAGGTCATAAAAGATGTGGACACCCACCATTTCTGTGCTTCTTTGGAAGACGTATTTATATTCCAGATTAGAGTCAGAGCCCAGAACCTTTTCCATACCTTCTATGAGGAGCAAAGGATTTTGTTCTCTCTCTCTCTCTCTCTCTCTCTCCTTTCTGAAGGGGAGAAGAATGGCTGTCTTCGCTCCAGTACATAAATACAAAAAATCCATTATAGCTGACTCATTGTGTCCTGCTCTTGTAGGAGTCTGACCTGGTTTCCTCACATACCCCAGGGGTAAGGGCTGGGATGAGTAAGCTTTCTCACAATATTAACTCCATGGTAATTGTAAGAAACCCATCTTTACCCAGAACACCTCATATGTACACTCAGGTTTAAATGAATAAAGATGAATATTAAAAACCCAACACCCACTCCAAAATGATAAAAAGATTCTATCTTTTGGTAAAATAGACAGTTTCATCTCATACATTTCAATGTTGGCCCATCTGTCTCTTATTTGGTATATAGGTAGAGTGAGATATGGATTTAGTTTTTCCCCCACAAATCGCTTACCAATTGCCATAAGTTCATTTCTAGAAAAAAAAGCAATTTTTCCTCTTTGATTTGAAATTTAAGTGGGGTGGAAAGCACAGAGATCATTTTATTATGATTTTATAATTAGGAAATCCAAGGGTCAAAATGGTTAATTGATTTAAGATTAGTAAGACCTGTTCGTAAAGCCAGGGCTGAACGTTTAGTCACAGTTCTCTCCTTCTCACTCCCTGGGGGAAAAAAAGAAGGAAAAAAAAAGGCATTTCCACAGTCTTTTTCTAGAAACCAATGGGTTGTTGGACCTAAGAAAAATCTACAGCAAAAAAGGATTGGAAGATGATGACATGGTGTGATACGTAGCATAGGTCACCAGTCTTAGGACAAAACACAAAATCAGTAGCACTTTCTCCTTACTACAGATTCTCAAAACCAGTTCAAAAGTGACTTTGTGCCATTTTCCTTGCCTAGAAGCTATTTCTCCCAATGGTAAAGGCTTAGGAAATCTGTAAATATCCAAAGAAACCACAATGCCCACTTAAATATAAGATTAAGAAAGAAAACTGTCAAAAACCTTGACTTCTATATATTAAAAAAAAGTAAGCAATTAAAAAAATTAACCTATCGATTAACTTTTTACCCAAGGACCATTATTCAAAACTCCCTAAGAAAAAAGAATTTTTCCCATGACCAACTTCATACAATCACAGATTACTGTCTTGTTGCTAAACCTTTAAAAATGTGTTTAGTAAGTCTGGTAACTTGTTTACATCCTTTCCTTAAGGATCCCTGAAGACTTCAACAGAAAAGGAAAAAAAGGCATCATGAAAATGATCCTGCCCCAAGCTGAATGTGAAGCTTGTAGGGGCCACCAACTTCACCGAAACTCAGATACTTGTGTACTAAAAAATACCACAGCCTGCTGAAGGTCACTGGCCATGTGCTTTGTGGCTGTGTGAAGACCACCATCCATTTGTGCCTCTG